AACAACTCCATTTATTTATTTTTACAAGTCACTGAGCTAAAAACCTAGGCTGGTTCTACACGTGGCATTGCTGAGGCATTGTTCTTTCATTCTAAGCTATTGTCTTGGCAGCAACAACAAAGCTGCTTTCTCCCCACTTCCTGTCGGATGCTTTGCTCTAAGGAAAACAACAGGCATCAGAGCTCACTCCTAGGGGCTGAGGTTCCTTCGCCTCCCCCCAACAAGATATATGAAGGGGCTGGGGCCCCTCAAAGTTGATGGACATTGCCATTCAAATAGTGAGGGTGAGCCCTGTCATGTGATCAGGGCATAATCCCCCTCCCCTATATTTTATTTACTGTACTTTTCTGTGTATAAGACTCCCTCATGTATAAGATGCCCCCTATTTTTGGGGGGGACGACTCAATTTTAAGAAAATGGGGGGAGATGGCTCAGAGTTGTTGAGCTTTTTTGAGGGGGGGATTACCCAGAGTTGTACAGCTTTTTTGGGGGGGGGGGTTTGCCGGAAATTGCTCACGCACAGCACAGATGCTGACAATCACCAGCAGCCGCCAATCCACTGCCCACTTGCCGCAGCGACAGCTGATCGCCAACGGACCCAGAAAATCACTAACCCAACTGAGAAAAGCTGTCCACTGACAATCGCACGCATCCCAGAACACCAGCCGCCAATCGCGGCAGCGACAGCCAATCCACAGCAGTCCTTGCTACAGAAACCAACCACCAACCCAATTAGAGCAGCAGCAGCCAATCCAAAGCAGCTCTTCTAGCAGCTAACAATCAGCCACCCAATCTCCTGCTCACAGCTGCAGCCAATCACCCGCCCCCTCATTCACTATCCATGTATAAGATGAGGCACATTTTTGAACATTATTTTAGAGTAAAAAAACCTCATCTTATACACGGAAAAGTATGGTAAGTTGGCACCCCTAGTGACAGGGAAATGTTCTGAATAGTATGGGATAACACACTGAACCCGGGCTCATGGTTTAACTCTGTCCAGGCTAACCGCAAGCTGTAACCATGGTTTGGCTTGGCGAGACTTGTAAACCAGGCCTACCCAGGTACCTTGTTCACTCACACAGTCTGCTTGTGCAAAGGCCTTGGAAAAGGTTTACAGCTGAAGTTGGAATTACCGTTATGCCAGCATGCAAGACTCCGTTGGCTCAATACTCACAGTATCATTGTAACTGAGGGGGAAATTGCATGTTATACACATCATGCAGCCTGGATTCTTTTAAAATTCGGCAGAAATTCAGCATCATGCTGCTGTTGCTGCTGAGCTCAGAACTGCAGCCTTTAGCAAGCCCTTAGAAAACCCAGAAACACTTGCACACATCTGTGTGTAACTTGTAGTTTGCCCTTGAGGATAGTGTTTGCTGAAGAGATATCATTCTGGCTGTTGCTGCAGAAACTCTAGTTGTAAAGAAACTGAAGAAGTTGTACTTGCTTCATGCAGTGATCAAAGGTATATTTGGGGGAGAACAACATATATTTGGACTATTCCTCTAAACCTCCTCTTTCGCCTAGTTAAACAATGTTTGCATTAGGTTAAAGGCTGTTCAGTGAGAGCATGCCTTATGTCTGCAACATGCCTGTTCCGTTCTGAAGAGTTTGGCAGTTAACTGTTTTGAACTGAAAACGCAGAGCTGCTTAAAACCAAACCGTTAGGGCAAAGGGACAGTGCTTGCACTTGATGCTTTGCAACCCTGAGTGATCAGCTGATTGTCTGGGCTTGCAGAACTTGGTGCACTGGACTTTCCAGGTGCAACCAATCGATGATGCCTCAAAGCCCTGCCTTTAACTTCCTCACACCTGATGTCGTATGATACATAAGGCATGGCTTGGCTGAGACAGCCTCATGGGCCAAATGGGGAGTCTGGCAGGCCTGACTAGCCTGCGGGCAGGAGGTTGCCATTGTCATGTAGCAATTCCAAGGACCAGACATTTCACAATCAACCCCATCAATATGGTCGCAAGCTTCTTGCCATGCTAGCTGTATGAATTGATGCAAACATTTCTCCCACAGTGTTCAGATTGGGATTTTGCTTCTGCTGCCTCTGAGGGTATATGGGACTTGTACAGATTTTGACCTAGCTGCCAAAAAGTTTAACCTTCACCCATTTAAATAATAACAATAATAAGTTTTTGAGAGTCACTATCTGGCAACTTTAAGCTTCCCTTTCTGGAATTATGTCCATGCCTAAATAAACGATCATTCTTTGCAATCCAAGCTATGTCAGAGTCTCTTGTCCTTTCTCTTTCATGGGACTTGAACCCTTAGGAGGCTGTAAGGAGCCCTACCTCTCTAGCCATAGAACTGGTTCCACCAGAATCTTCTGCAACAGACAGGTGTTGGATGCAGATAAGTCTTCTCTGGAGGTGAAGGCTTGCAAGCCACCTACTTATAGGGATGGAAGGACCTGTCAATTTCATTTCTCGGAGTTTCTCATTCTTTCAAATTTCAGTTCTCCACATTTTGCAGAAATTGCAATTACTTTTTTTTTTATCCTCATTTAATTCACCAGCATTTTAGTCTGAATTTCTCCTAATAAACACATCGGCTATATGCACACATGTACACATTTTTGCAAGCAGTTTTCCTTAATGTAGCCTGTATTTGTTATTCTTCACTAATATCATCATTTTAATGCACTCTTTCCCCATTACATGAATCTTTGTAAACATTTTTTTACTGCATTGCAAAATTTAGATAAGTGCAAATTTCACATATAGTTTCAGGAAGTCCACATTTGATAGATTTGACTTTAAATGTAGCCAAATCAGATTTCTCCACCATTTCCTACTCCCTTATAAACAGACCTTGTCTGTTTGCATTTGGTGATATTGGGGTGGTGAGTGATGCTCTCTTGCTACATGCCAACATGACTCTAAAGTTCAGCAGGTATGAATTCTCAAAAATAATACACACAGGTCCCACTTTACGAATGTTTACTGTGCAAAAATTCACTCATGCCAACACGAGGAATTTGTAGCCAAACCACTGCAGATTCTGTGGTTGGGAACACATTAGAAATTTCCCCATAGGAATCAATGGAACTCATCAACTCATTATACGAACGGAACTCTTCAACTTGCTATGCAAACAGTTGCCTAATGAACGACTTCCAGGAAATGTATTGTGTTCATAAAGCTGGACCTTCAGGAACAGCTTCATAATGTGGGTCAAGCAACCATGCTTGAATGATGCCTTAGGAATGTTTCTTCTTGACATGCAAGTTTTCTATAAGCAGCACTTTTTATTTGGGGTTTATATCCAGCCATAGGGACACGGGTGGCGCTGTGGGTTAAACCACAGAGCCTAGGACTTGCTGATCAGAACGTCGGCGGTTCGAATCCCCATGATGGGGTGAGCTCCCGTTGCTCGGTCCCTGCTCCTGCCAACCTAGCAGTTCGAAACACATCAAAGTGCAAGTAGATAAATAGGTATCGCTCCAGCGGGAAGGTAAACGGCGTTTCCGTGCGCTGCTCCGGTTCACCAGAAGCGGCTTAGTCATGCTGGCCACATGACCCGGAAGCTGCACGCCGGCTCCCTTGGCCAATAAAGCGAGATGAGCGCCGCAACCCCAGAGTCGGCCACGAATGGACCTAATGGTCAGGGGTCCCTTTACCTTTTATCCAGCCACACAGACTCCATCCCTTTTGTTTCATAGTGTAAACATTTCAACTGTACTGCTTCATATTATGGAAAGGGATCCCAGATTGCTCAAGGCTCTGTAACTTTGCTGCCTATGATTGCAAAGGATTAACGAGTAATTTCCCAGTGAAGAGACAGGTAGACACACGATTTAAAGTTGTATGTTCCAACTGATGCCAAGGAAGTATCGTATTGTGTTGAAGAATATATGAATGCATAGAGCAACTTATTTATGTATCTCCATATCCAAGCTGGAATCTAAAGAGGCTTTAATAACTACTTTAGGATTTTGGAGGGGTTTGAGTGGGGTGCAGGTAATGGAATGCAGTGCCTTTTTCCTTGGGAAGTTACACAAAAAAAGTTCTGGAACAAATGGGAGTGTTCTGATTTGTTATAAGACAGCTTTGCATGTTTATATAGTTTAACTGTGGATTTATGTTGCCTTTATGAAACAGGAACATTGCATGCACATACAAAAATGTGGATCTCTGTGCTATTTTTGTTTTTAAATAAAAAAATGCAACTCTGGTCTTTTTCTTTTTTTTCCTTTTCGGCAGGTGGAAAAACCAACGAGCTCACTCTTCAAAACAATGCAAACAAAGCAATTATTCAAGGCCTTATCCCCGATCAGGGCTATACAGTTCAGATTGTGGCGCTTGCTAAGGATCAGGAAAGCAAAGCGGCTCAAGGCCAATTCCGAAGTATGTTTTCTCTCCCGTTATCTATGTTTCTCGCAGGGCTTTGCAAGAGGCTGGTTTTCGAGATGAGCATTTGAAATGTGTTTTGCAATGTGGAATGTGTGCTTTCTTGCCTGTCATCACACTGCAGAGTCTTGGAATCAAGGATCCAAAGTCGAAAAGAAAAGCCCCCAAGGATGGTGCAGACATGGGGAGCCAGATTCAACTAAGCAGTTGTGTTAGCAGGAGCCACTGCAATGAGTCCTGCTAGTGCAACTGGGACTTACCCCCCACTTCCATCACAACCCACAAATCAGCTCGGTGGAAGGGCAAGAGAACCTCCAAAACAGTGTGTAGCAGGAAAAGTGGGGAGTTCATTCCATCTGGCTGCTGATTATGGAATGATTGTAATAGTGTGACATTGATTTGCACCCTCTGAGCTCTTCCCTGGGCAATGCAGCCATACTTTATCTCATACTTAGAGAACTCCAGCTTCTTCAGTTCCAGCTCATAGCTCCGTGGCAGAACACATGCTTTGCATGTTCCAGGTTCAATCCCTTACACCATAAAAAATGAGGATGGGGAAAAAGATTAAAATACTAACCAATAAGTGGTAGGAAAAACCCCTGCATAAGACTCTGGAGAACCACTGCCTTTGGGCAAGCGTCTTAGCTCAGCGGTAGAGCACCTGCTTTGCATGCAGAAGGTTGCAGGTTCAATTCCCAACATCTCCAGCTATGGCTGCCCCAGTATGGGCCTCTGGAGGGCTGCTGCCAGTCAGTGTAGACCATACTAAGCTAAATGGACCAACGGCCCAAATTGGCATATGGCAGATTCTGTTTTTCTTATGTGCCAATCACAGTACAGTGGTACCTTGGTTTTCGAATGTACAGTGGTGCCCCGCAAGACGAATGCCTCGCAAGACGGAAAACCCGCTAGACGAAAGGGTTTTCCATTTTTGAGTTGCTTCGCAGGACGAATTTCCCTATGGGCTTGCTTCGCAAGACGAAAATGTCTTGCGAGTCTTGAGATTTTTTTTTCGCTTTCCCCCCCCTTTATCTAATCCGCTAAGCCTTTAATAGCCTTTAATAGCCTTTTAGCAGCTAATCTGCTAAGCCTTTAAGCCTTTAATAGCCGCTAAACTGCTAATAGCGCTAATCCGTTAAGCCGCTAATAGGGTTGCTTCGCAAGACGAAAAAACCGCTAGACGAAGACTCTCGCGGAACGGATTAATTTCGTCTTGCGAGGCACCACTGTAATTCGTTCCGGAAGACCATTCGAGTTCTCAGTAATAGACTATTGTATTTTAATATTTTGTTGGAAGCCACACAGAGTGGCTGGGGGAACCCAGCCAGATGGGTGGGGTATAAATAATAAATTATTATTATTATTATCATTATTCAAAAACCAAAAACTCAATAGCCGACAGCTAGGGTGCAGGATCTTGCACTCGGTGGAAGCCTCATGGTATGTTCGACTTCCGAGGCGTGTTCTAAAACCGAAGCGTTTACGTCGTTCGAAAACCAAAATGTTCGTCAATGGAGATGTTCGAAAACTGAGGAACCACTGTATAGAGTCCTAAGGTACCTGTCTGAGTTCTCCCAACTCCAGACACTGATTTAAAAAAAACCTCTGAGCTGGAGCATATACGAGGGTTGCCATATTCCCAAAAGTGGAAAGTCCGGACAAAGTTGTTGAGCCTTTATAATTTTATTTTATTAGGTTGAAGTTGTTGAGCTTTTTCAGATTTTTTAAAGAATTTAATGACAACAAAAAATCATCCCCCTTGACAATTCTGCACAAAAATACTCCTGGATGCCATTTTCCTTCCCAATTCCTGGATGTTTCCAGGACAACCCGGACAAATGGCAGCCCTCGCATATACCTTCTAGGTGCAGAGCCAATTATGTACCAGTGGACTTCTCCCGTCAGATGTAAACCAGAGTACAGGTGGGATCCAATTCATGTGGTGTGTGCATTTGCTCAGAGATTCTGGTAGCCTGCAACATCCCTGGCAAACTCACAGAGCAGGCTCTCCATTGCTACAACCGAGTGGTGTGACTTGGATGCTTATCTGGTATGGAATCAGATCTTTCCTTCCGTGTCTCTGCCTCTTGAGGCCAGTGCTCTCTCTAGCTCATTTCTGTGCCCATTGGTGCTGTGGGTCCAGAGCTGTAGCTAGGTGATCTTGCACCCTTGTCAGAACCATCCAGATTGCGCCCCCTAGCCGCAGACAAATTAGCTCTTCTTTTCGCCTCTCCTCCAACCCCCCCCCCAATTCACCCTCTATTTAAAACCATTTCTTATGAGGCAATAAACAATATTTATATTTATGAACATATTTTTAGCCAATTTTGTGTGCCTCAATCGCCTGCGCCCCTGGCAGGGGCCCACCTCACCCCCCCCCAGCTACAGCCCTGGGTGGGTCACTGGCAGTGACCCCTAAAATATATGAGTCTCGACCCAGAAGGAAATCTTGCATCCATTGGCAGAGGCCTGATGACTGTTGATGAAGAGAAGCTGGGCCAATCTCTCTCAGAGCCATTTCTCAGCGTAACTGGCTGTATTATTTGATATAACACCCCGATGCAAGAAAACCGCCAAGCCACATGCTGCTTTTAAGTTAAAGAGCAAACTGTTGAATGGTTGATCCAGGGTCTGAGTTATTAGCTGTGGTTGTTTTCAGAGTTGCTTAATTCCACCGGAAAGGCAAGGTTGACAGTGTGATTTAGAATGCAAGGCTGACAGTATATTCCAAAGCTTGGCTTTGGTCTGTGTTTATTGGCTGCAGCGAGATGTCCGCATGGAAGCATAACGCCTTGTCTGAATGAAATCAGACATCTTGTGCCTCTCAGAGCCCGCCTTTTCTGTCTTAAATGCGGATGTGCTATAAATGGGAAAGAGTTAAAGACTGACATGTTTGCCATTTGCAAAACAACAACAAACCTCTGGTTACGTGAAACATATTCAATAAACACACAAGACGTAACCGGCTGTACTTTTGAATAAATAAGGTATACTATTCATTGTATCAAATTGTAGATTTCAACAGAAGTAGCTCATAAAGCATTACCTAGAGTTTGTACTACTGATGAAGCCCAGGACGGCGAAACAAGGCTAATATTCCGGAAATCCTTGTCTTAGACTCTGTGAAAGGAGTCTGTGGAACTGTAACAACCTTTCATGTGGATTGTTGGACTCTAGGAACACACAGGTGGAACAGACACTTATACGTATATGGACCTTATGCATGAACTGATTAGAGAATGAACTGATCCACTGGGTCTTCTGCTTTTTTCGTTGAACTTTATGAGCTACTTCTGTTGAAATCTACAATTTGATACAATGAATAGTATACCTTATTTTTTCAAAAGTACAGCCGGTTACGTCTTGTGTGTTTATTGACATGTTTGCCATGTCATAAGCTTTTGCAGACAACTGTTATCCTGAGTTGCAGGTAAATATGTACACATGGTTGGCATTGGAAGGAGGTGGAAAACAGTGAAGTCAGAGGGAAATGAAATGCTAAAACGTAGATGCAGTGTTAAGTGTCTTATTAACAGTGGTAATTCACACACAAAAATAAATGCAAATAAATGCAGCACGATGAAGAATGCATTACCTTGTGAAACGTCCCAAGATCTTTTGATGAATTGCAGTATATATATCTAAAAAATAAAATAATTTCCCCACCAACCCCCACCCCAAGTGTAGATATACCTGAAACTCAGGATAACAGGTCATACATCTGTTAAAGTAGACTGCAGTCCACAAAAACTTAATAATTTGTTAGTCTTTAAGGTGTCCTGTGACTGCTTTTGCTTCAAGAGAAAAACAGCAACTCTCTGAGAAATGTAGTATATAGTTAACATTTCTTAAGACCACTGAGATTCAGCTTTATTTTAGCGGCTGATTCACATAAATATTATTGTTACTATTCTTTTCCATTTCATTTTTATACCGCTTTATATTTTTTAAGAACAAAATCTCAAAGCTGTTTACAAGCTGCATTAAAACACTGAAAGAAAACAATCCAGAATAAAACCATTACTGAAGAAAGTATACATTCAAAGCAACAGAACTAACAGGAAACTAAAATATCATCTCAAAGATTTCAAAATAAAACATTACAAAGGAGGTCAGCTACGGAATGCGTATTAAAAGCAGCAAAGTTAACAATTTTTTCTACCTTAAGCATTTCAAAAGAAAACATTACTAAATGCATACTAATGCATATTTAAAGCAGCCCAAGTAACAAGAGAATAAAATAATGTGTGAACAAACTGGAGTTTTACAAACTGGAGTTTGCAAATTAAGTGTATTGCGTATATCCTCACTTTGTAACCAAGGTTTGGTTGTGATGCCTTTAAGAGCGTCTTTTTGCTAGCAAGCCATAATATGTGAAAAGGCCCAAAGGAAGGATGAAAAATATAAAAGGGGAAATGTATAACTGACAGATCAGTAGCATGACTGAAAGAGGGCCATGAGCAGAATATGATTTTTTAATAAGATGCAGCCACCTCCTCCCCAACAAATGCTTTTAATAGATGGCTTTTATTAAGTCGGCTACACAATAATAGAGGCATGGTCTTGCTGCAGTAAGACTATAATTAGTTTTCCACATTTCAGGAAGACTGTACAAATTGGACAGGATTCAGAGGAGACAGACGACAATGGATGTTGGGGTTTTTGTTATAAAGAATTCAGAGATATAAGAAGCATCTGAAAGGGTTGTTTCTAGTCTAATGAAGAACAGATAAGGGTAACATTAAAATAGTTCGGCAGAAACGCCAAGAACCATTTTTCTTCATTACAACTTGGAAAAAAGACAAGACTTTCATTAGCACTGTATTCGCTGTTAGCCAATAGTTAAGGGGTTGGTTTAGGTTTATAAAGCCTTTTAGGGTGGCACTGTAGGTTAAACCACAGAGCCTAGGACTTGCTGATCAGAAGGTCACGGTTCGAATCCCTGCGACAGGGTGAGCTCCCATTGCTCGGTCCTTGCTCCTGCCAACCTAGCAGTTCGAAAGCACATCAGAGTGCAAGTAGATAAATAGGTACCGCTCCGGCGGGAAGGTAAACGGCGTTTCCGTGCGCTGCTTTGGTTTGCCAGAAGCGGCTTAGTCATGCTGGCCACATGACCCGGAAGCTGTACGCCGGATCCCTCGGCCAATAAAGTGAGATGAGCGCCACAACCCCAGAGTCGGCCACGACTGGACCTAATGGTCAGGGTCCCTTTACCTTTGTCCCATTGCAGTCTCTGAATATTCATATCAGCCATGCCTTTTTGAGTTGGTTCTCTGCTCACCAGATTTGGACATTGACGGCTCAGAGAGAGGAATTTGTGACATCAGTCCCACAAGTCCGGGACTCCTGAAGACTCTTTTCACATGGGCTGGTGCTAGAGTTAAGCTCTGTTGCATCCTCGTTGCCTGCTTTAAATGTCTTCTGCAGATTGGGCCTCAGTCACGCATTGTGCTAAGAGAGACCATCCTGTGCTGACCTGATGCCTGCCAATTGCTAATTCTGCTCATTTTGCTGGTGAACCGTTTATTTTGTTTTTCTTTTTTTAAAAAAACTGTTTTATTCTATTTTTGCCAAAAAAGGATTTGGCAGCTGCTACGGACCCAAAAGCACTCTTAAGTGCAAGTAGATAAATAGGTACCGCTTTATAGCGGGAAGGTAAACGGCGTTTCCGTGTGCTGCGCTGGTGCTGGCTCGCCAGCTGCAGCTT